GGTACTGTCGTTAGAAGGTGGTGAGTGAGTATGAGTAATACATCTCAACACATCCACTTTCTCAGTTCCCAATTAGTCACTCATTATTGGAGTTAAATTATATAATACATGACTAAGTGAAATTATGTAAAGCTGAACAATAAGCAAAACAGTTGAATAGTAGGATTAACCTGGGTCAGAGAATGCACAAACAGTGACTGAGTCATGAAAACATCTCTTTGATCACCATTGGCTGCCATGAACGTTTATTTGATGAACTCTTGGTGGCTCAAACATGCTCCTCGTTTAAAGGCTGATGCACAAGTCATTGGACTGAACAATTTAACATGCCCACTCTCTACCACAGCAGATGTTTTGCTTCTTGGCAGTATGATGCCACTTTTCCATGGCAGTAATATCTGAGCTTTCTGTTTGTCCCACGAGAAAAGAACTTTATTCATAGCTGGAGAAATGGGCCAAAAGGCTGCAATCCCAAGGAACAACCTGGACCAACGGGAAAAAAAAAATACCACAATCCGTGAGGAGGTAAATCCAAGAGAAATGGAGTTGAGGTCCACAAGGCCACACCTGAAGCTACCACTGCTTGTGTACTTTTAATGAACCAAAATACATTTGATCGTTTATGCTAAGTCAAAATGAGGTTGCAATCTTCTTCAGACACCACACTAGCTGCTCCCTTGCCAGAAAGACCCTTGTCAGCTCTGGGCTCATGAGCTGATATCTGGTATGCAAGTTCATCTTGACAAGTAACTCCTCTGTGGGAGAGGAGCTGGAATGAGGGCAAGTTGGAAGCATATATGTTAGATGATTGGACATTCATTATTCGGTGAATCTTAGTCTTATTGTTGAAGCACATTTACTATCGAGGTAACAATTTTAAGTTCAGAATATATATGTATATATATATATATGTATATGCACAGACACACACATATATATATACATATATAAGTATATATAATTAGACACTATCATACTGTGTATCTGCAACTGGCCTTGAACTTATGTGTATCCCAGCATTGCCCTATGGAATGCTGGGATTATAGATGTGTGTCACCTCCTGGCAGAAATGACCTTCTTGGTTTTCCTTTGTGTCTTCTGACTACATTTTTGTGTCTTCTCCATTTTAAAAATTTTAGTGCATCATCTTCCTGTATAGTTTTAAAAAAATCTACTACTGCTATCAACTTTTGCTAATTTTCTGTTGGACAACAGGAAATTGCAAAATGTATTAGGCTATGTTGAACGTAGGCTCTGCTTCCCTGGATGCTCTACTTCTCAGTCTGTGTTTTTCTAATTGTGCTGTGCACTAGTTTTACCTTGGTAGTCTTAAAATAATGATTTCCAAGCTTAGTGTGCATCCATTAATTCACTTGGTAAAACTTTAAAAGATTCCTAGGCCAATCCCAAGTTTCTGACTCAGTAATTCTAGGGTGGGACCCCCAATTTTGCATTTATAACTGGTTCCAGGCCATACTGATACTGTTGGTCTACAGACCACTGCTTAAATGTTTTTTTTTTTTTCATCCTTATGACTTAAATCAGAATCTTCTGAGTAGGGGAGGGTTTAAGGCTCCCCAGATGATTCTAATGGGGAGCCAGGCTGAGAACTATTGTCCTAAACAGAGGAACACGCTGGGTTTTATTTCCTGCTTAAGAACTTACAGAGGTTCATAGTTCCAATAAAACATTCCCTTTCACATCTCACATGAACCCCTTGACCCCACTAGGAAAAGTCAATAAACTCAAATGAAAGAAAGGGCTAGAGTTGATTACCAAGGAGAAGCACTGGCTGAGTACCAGCACTCTCTGGTCTCAAGAACTGTAGATATGTTTAAGAGAATTCCTGTAATTGTGGTACTGGGGTCCGACCAGCAAAGGTGAATAGTTTAGTGAGGGGAGTTAGATGCATAGATTGTACAGGGGACTGGAATCTGCAGGAAGGTCCAGAGGAGGTGCTGAAGTTAGCAGAGCCCAGGAGCCTGGATTCCGGGAAGGAAGCTAGACTCAAGATAGGCTTATTTAGTAGTAGCTGTGATTTTAGTTGACAGGGAGGATTCAGTGGGCACTTGCTGGGAGTTCCAGCTTCTTGTGTCTTGTAGTAAATAATTGAACAGAGACATACAGACTGTAAGAAGTGTTTTGGGTAACTGTTGCCTTGCTTGCTGACCTTGACCTTGATATCCTCCCTATGCTAATTCCCTGCCTGGTTCCACTCTCCTGAGTGCTTAAGGGAAGTTCCTTATCTGTGTATCCTGCATAATGGGCATTAACAGCTTAGATGCAAGATTGTAAAACATCAGTAGCCAACTTCTGCCCACTGGGGTCCTCCCATTGTCCTGTAAGCCTGTATTTAAGACCTCTTCCCTCCTTCAATAAACAGCATTCAGCATTAAATAAATAAATAAATAAATAAATAAATAAATAAATAAATAATAAAAAAGAACTTCCTGGCCAGGTGGTAGTGGCACACACCTTTAATCCCAGCACTGGGGAGGTTGAGACAGGCGGATCTTTGTGACTTCAAGACTAGCCTGGGCTACAGAGTGAGTTCCAGAACAGCCAGAATACATACAGAGAAACCCTCTCTTGAAAAACTGAAATAAGGGCCGGGCGGTGGTGGTGCACGCCTTTAATCCCAGCACTCGGGAGGCAGAGCCAGGCGGTACCAAGTGAGTTCCAGGAAAGGCGCAAAGCTACACAGAGAAACCCTGTCTTGAAAAAACCAAAAAAAAGAAAAAAAGAAAAAAAAACTGAAATAAATAAATAAGTAAAAAAAAAAAAAAAAGCAAAGTGAGAATTTGTTGAGAAAGGATCCACTTCCCAGGGATGGAGCTAGCTAAGATAAAGCTACAGTTGAGAAGCTTGAAAGTCCCACTGTACAAAGAATCTAGTCTTTAAAAATTTAGCATCCTTTCTCTCTATCAGTGTGAGTTGTATGTACATGTGTCACACTGTGCATTTGGAGGTCAGAGGACAATTCTAGAGAGTCTGCTCTCTCTTTTCCACCCTGTGGGCCCTTGGGATCAAACTCAAGTTGTCAGGTTTGATGGGATTGAACGCACATCATCAGGTCTAGCAGCCAGCCCCTTCATCCATGGAGCCATGTTTCAATCCCTGAGTTCTGGTTTCTGTGTTACTTCAGTTCGGATTTTTGGCTTATTTTCAGTGAGGGCTTTTTTTGTGTGTGCTTTTATACATGTGATTCTAGTGTACAATTTCATGTATCCCATGCACCATTAACATCTTGCATTAGTCACTTCTCTATTTCTGTGATAAAATACCATGATGAAAGCAAGTTATAACAAACAAACAATGTCTGACTGGGGTTATGGTTCCAGTCCATGATGGCAGAGCAGAGACACAGCATCAGGAACAGCTGAGAGCTCATGTGTCAAACCACAAGCAGGGGGCTTAGAAAACACTGAGGATGGTAGGAGGGTTTTGAAGCCACAATACACCTTCTTGCAAAATGCCACACCTCCCAATCCTTCCCAAACAGTTCCTCCAGCAGAGGACCAAATATTTTAAACATCTGAGCCCATGCGGGCTGTCTTAGTTAGGGTTTCTATTGCTGTAAAGAGACACCATGAGCGCAGCAATTCTTCCAAAGGAAAACATTTAATTGAAATGGTCACTTACAGTTTAGAGTTTAGTCCATTATCACCATGGTAGCACATGGTGGCATGCAGACAGACGTGGTGCTGGAGAAGGACCAAGAGTCCTACCTCTTGACCTGCAGGCAACAGGAAGTAGTCTCAGTGTCACACTGAGGGAAGCTTGAGTGAAAACGACTTCAAACTCCGCCCCCACAGTGGCATATGTCCTCCAACAAGGCCACACCTACTTCAACAAGGCCACACCTCCTAATAGTGCCATTCCCTTCGGGGGCCATTTTCTTTCAAACCACCACAGGGGCCGTACTCATTCAAACCATCACACATCTCAACTCTCCACCCAAAGGTAAGCAAGCTGTTTATTATTAGAATGAGTCACCTTCAGCCGCTCCAGAGTATCCCTGCCTCTACAATAGCAGCACTGACCAACTCAATCCAGCTTCAGGGAGGGCGAGCCTTGCTCAATGCTAAATTGTAAGACTTTGCCCAAGGTCTTCCAGACCTTTCTCTTTGCATTATTTTCCTGCCTCAGCTGGAGCCAGCAGGGAGAAGCAGCTGATGCCAGGGATGCTCCCAAAGCAGAGAGCAGTGAATGTAGGGCTGGATAGTCTGCCTTCTCTTTTTTCCCCAGAGTGAAAATAAATGTTATTTCTAAGAATTATATATAAATAGCCTAGGACTGAAGTCAATACAACAATTAAGACTTTCCTAGCATTTGGGGGCTTTGCTGTTATAATTTCCAAATTGTCTTCCTTCTATAATTTCTAAATTGTCTTCTTCCTAGAATATATTCAAAGTGTTATTTCTCTGACTAAAACACATGGCCTCAAGGACCTGAATGTGATGACTCCTACCTCTTTCTCTAGTTTTACCTGGAATTCTCAGTTTGTGTCAAGTTTTACTGACCCACAAACAAGTCATTTGTGAGTTCATGAAGACACATGCTCCTGTCTCCCAGTTTGCCAACCAGATACCCATCTCTCTGGTCTCATTTTGAAACATTCTTCTTTCTGGACATTTTTTCTGACCATGCAATTGGAAGTGAATCTCTTTCCTCAGGCTCTATTATTTTCTGATTTGTCCTGCTTGCTTTTTTTTTTTTCTTTCCTGTTTCCAGTCAGCATTACTCATCAGCTAAGCCCACTGGAGTGACAGCTGACACTAGAGTCTAGGAAATAAACCACTGGATCAGTCCTTATAGCCTACAGATGTGAGCAGACAGGAAAAGCAAGACGTGATGCTGAGAACAAAGGTCAAGAACCAGCATACCATTCTTAGACAGTACAGTTTTTTTTTACAGATGAAACCATGAGGGTGATCATTCATACATGCCACTTCATTCTTTTATTTTCTTTTTTTTCCTTTATTTTCTTTTTCATGCAGTCAAGTTTCCTGCATTTGGAGAAATTGCAGGGGTCAGCTCAGCACATCTGGAGTGCAATGGATAAGACTCACCCTAGGAGGGCCACCTTGTGATCATGGTATCTCCCCTTCTAAGTAGGTATTAAGATTTATTTGCTTGTGTATTTTATGCATAGGAATGCTCTGTCTGAATATATGCCTGCACAATGCCACTTCATTCCAATGATGGTTGGAATCTTTGTTTTGGGATTTTATTATTTTAAAATGTGCTTGTACATGTGATGTGTATGTTTTCTGTGCACATATGTAGTCTCCTTTGACTACTTAGTAACCTACTCCAAACACTATCTAGCAGTCTCCTTTCATATGCCGTTTCAATTACCTGTGGTGAACCACGGTCTGAAAATACTAAATGGCAAATTCTGGAACAATTCAAAAACTTAAATTGTGCACTGTTTTGGGTAGTGTGATAAAGGCTCAAACTATCAGCTCCATCTCATGTTAGCAAGAGAATCATCTCACTGTCCAGGGTACGATGTACACACTATTCTCCCAACAGTCAGAGTTACCGTCAAAATCGTGCAGTACTTGTATACAAAGTTTAGTTCTATTGGTGGTTTTGAAGTCTCTACGTGTGCTTTGGGATGTAGCCTTGGCGCATAAGCTGAGACCACTGTGGTCAGATTTTAGAGTAAGATTTCAAAAAGATTCTTCTGGTGTCTAGTACCAACTTAGTTAATCTTTTTTCTTTACCAAAAGACCTGTCTAAGATTGCGATAATGCACACATGAACTTTAGGACACGGATAGTTGTTTCTTTGATTTTCTTTTAAATCACGGAGTGATTTAATATGCTTCCTTGCTTGGCAGGCTTTAGACTTCCAGACTGACTCTAAACAGTAGTTGTTTCCCTTTTTGACAGGCAAGGAGCTCATTTTGCATTGACCACAAGTATGCTAGGGCCAAGCTTAAGACACTCTCTTGAAATCCCCTGTAAACTTTGCTAATGAAACCATTATTTGAGTGGTAGATGAAGTTAATTTTCCAGTTAATTTATCTTTCTGCCCCATTTCCATAGGATCATCAGAGGCTCTTTCCTGTCCAGATTGACTGATAGTCTTGTCCATGAATCTGTAAGCACTGTGTCTGTTAATCTCCAGAATAGTCATAATGTTATAGCATGATACATATTTATATGCAAGTACATTATATTAGTTATCATTCATTAGTGGCACTTGATAAAATTATGTCTTTCCTAATAGGGTCATTTTTAGGAACTGTTCTAACAATTCCATAACAAGGGATAACTGCCCCAGCCTTAATCCAGACCTGAGTGGGTGGTCAACACCATCTGGCACTTATTAGTGAATTGGCAGCTTTAGCATCATATACTGAGCTTAAAAAGTACTGTTCTTTGGCTCCCCCAATTCCCTTACAGTCTGAGGGTCTCGCCGTATTTAAGAAAGTATTCACTAAGGAGCTTATGGATAAGATTGAAAGGCAGATAGATGTAAGGTGGGGGTCGTGCCTTTGTTGTTCAGGCAAACTTGCTCCCTGGGTGTTTGGGTCTTTGCTGTAGGGTGCTTGTGTGTGTGGACACACTTTGAGCAACTCTTCTGCGTGGATGGATCGTGGTTGGGGTGGGATGAGCAATTACATTTTTCCATTCTCCTAATTCCCAGTGGTAGTAGGACTCGTCGCTCTCATGTAAGTCCATTGGGATAAGTGAGAGTCGTTTCTGGAAGCTATGTATGACAAAGTCTTGACCCTCCAGCCCATCCTCCATTTCTCTCTCTGGCTGTTTTCTCTGTATTAACCACTTTTCTGATTAGATAAGCAAGAGTGATCCTGTCTCTTCAACTTAATCCTACTAAATGCAAAAGGCAACGTTTCCCTTGATTTCCAGAAACACAATTCACACTCATTAAAAACCCTGCCCAGAAAGGGGCAGGAAAATGAGCTGCATTCAAAGACCTTTGGCCTGCTAAATTTGCTTATGAGCTTCAGTTCCTGATTTTAAGACTTAATTATTTCTTTTTATCAATGGTATACACACGCTTGAGGTTTCAAAAGCCAAATTTGTAACGAGGCATAATAACAATTTTTAAAATTTGTATTTAATCCCATTTGTTTCCCTCCTTCCCTCCCCCTTCCCTCCCTCTCCCTCCCTCCCTCTCTCTCCATCCCTCTCTCCCTTCTTCTTTCTTTCCTCCCCCTTCCCTCCCTCTCCCTCCCTCCCTCTCTCTCCATCCCTCTCTCCCTTCTTCTTTCTTTCCTGCTGTCATAATCTCTTGAGTGCTGAGATTTGGGGTCTGTCTTTTGAGATCTGAGATTCATAGTCTCTGTAGATAGTTTTCAATTTCTTCTGGTCTTCATATTTTTATTTCTAAGTAGCATTTCTATGTTGTTATTTCTCGGGTTTTCCCACTTTGGTTTATCTTTTTGTTTCCTCCACTTTCTTTGATAGAAGATGAACTATCTCTTCTCCAACATCTCCCTTTCTCACCATTTTTTTTTTTTACATAGATAACGATTTTTTAAAATTGGTCTTTCCTATTTCCGTTTGCTCTCCTCTGTTCTCTGTTCTTCTAAACAGAAGAACACAGACTGTAAGTGAGTGCATGCACAGGGCCAAAGCACGAAGACCAGCTCACTGTGACTGCCTGCGTCATGCAAACTAACCCCCTGCTGTGTCATCATTCTTGATTATGACCCATGACCCACAGCCCTCAGTAGGCCTCACTTCCCCACACTGCCTCAATAAGGCGTTGACGTTTCATTGACACATGAACTTCTGGTGGATGCAGCTGAAACTCTAACAACTGGGAAAACATTATTGACAATTGAGCCACAGGATTTAAGAATCCGATATCATCATATCCCCCCCTCCCCCCCTCTCTCTTTCTCTGGCTTACTCTTCTACATATCTCTGTTGATTTTTCCACTAATTCTCTGGTAGAGGTATAAATCTCTTTCAGGATATTAAAACACAGCAAAATGACATTTTAATTCCATTTTTTCTCCCCTCTGTCCTTACAATAGAGATACCTCCTTCTGAAGCGCTTCTAGACTGCCCTTTCTGCTTGGCTTTCCATAGCTTCCACCTGTGCTAGATTCTCCCTTTCTAAAATCTTAGGTTTCCAATATTATGATTTATCATCTCATTTCTAACCACTAGCTTCCTATGATTAACTTTTTTTTTTTTTTTTGAGGGGCCCTTATGCCTCTCTCTCTCTCTTCTGTGCTTCATTTGCATGATCATTTCGCAGTGTGTCGATTTGATTCTCACATTCTAGAAATCGATTTCTACTTGCTCCCTAGTTACAGAGAGACTGCAGTTCTGAGATGCGCCTGTGCTTCCTTCCTGGTGTCTTTCTGAAGCCTGAACACTGCAGTTCTTCCCTGGAGGTGGGGAGGGCAGCTCCGTGGACGTTCTGAATTGAGAGAGCTATACTTATGCGGATTTCCAACATGTTCTTACTTCACCCACACCCACACCCTCTCTTTCAGAGATCCCAGGTGTCTCTGGTTTCTCAGTCCTTCTGGGGTCTTGGAGTTGATACTGCTGTATTTTTTTTTTTTTTCTAGTTGTTAAGTCAACAACCACTTGCTCTGCTGTCTAGCTTGTGTAATTTCGCTGCGGCCATCTGTTCCTTGTTCTTATACACTTTTGTTCTTATAATTTCTTCATTATTATTATAGTTTGGAGGCACTTGGGAGGGGAGAAGAGGTAACTATGCGTGTGCAGTTGGTTATATTTACTTTAAAAGCTGGTTGCCGGTTTTTGTATCATCTTTGTACAGGACACTTTGTATGACTGATCCATAATCGATCCTTTCGGTTTAAGGGTTTTGGCCCTTTTAACAAACCCAGGAACTTAATCATAGACATCCGTTAAGTGTGGAAACAAAGCCGTTTGTTAAAATTCAGGAGTGTCACTGGCATGTTTTCTCAGGTTCCTAGAACACCCCATAATTGTTTCTTTTAATTTAAATCCACGAAATAGTAGGATTCGTTTACACCATAATACAGTGACTTGTCCTCCACTTCCAACGTGGTATGTCTGATTTTGTTTTGTTTGGCTTGTTGGTCTTGTATTTTAGGTACTACTAATTCAAAAAAGCATGTTGGGGCATTTCTGGGTTAAAATGAGCAACATTTTAACTAAGTTCTCATTGAAGAAACATCTGAATTTAACAGGTGATTTTTTTTTTCCAAAGGATTCCTTCAGGGATGATGACTAAGTCTCAGAAGGAATTAACTACATATAACAAAATGCTGATAATTGCCAGATGATGGAACATCTGGAGGAATAGAATGAATTTTAAAGAAATCTCTAAACAAGGGACCAGTATTTATTGTTTAAAGTCTTGTCTGTGTAGGAGGGACTTGTGATATTTGCACGTAATTGGCTTTAATCAATAACATCTTCACTCAGAAATTATTTACAGTGAATTTTCAGGTTTTTTAAAAATTGTTTTTAC